ACATGAAGTTAAAACAAAATCATTTTAAATGTTCACAACAGGAAAAACACCAGGAATTAATTTAACAATTAAATTTCCTCATTTAAATTTTGATTTAAAAATCTTAGACTTTATTGTTTTTCTGGTTTCTTATCTGATAAAACCTAAAGTAACTGAAACATTTTGGGATTTTTTTCTATCAGCTTTGATCCTAAAGACAATTTATGAAAAATATTTTCTGACTTTTAGCTGAAAACAAAAGTCAGATTCAGATTCAGTTGAACTTTTCCAGTTGCTTGAGTTTTGAGCACTAAATTTATTTCAGTCTTTCAGTGTTTATAAAGCTTTCCTCGTGTTACAGAACCATTTCAGAACCATTTCATAACCATTTCAAAGCTGCTGACTCAGGTTTGCTGCAGTCTGAAGTTTGTAGGTGAAGCAGCTGCTGCTTCACCAGCAGGGGGCGCCACCTTCTGAAACCCTCCAGGCCTCCAGGTTTCTGTGGCTCAGCCTCTGAGCTCTGACAGTCCGCTGTGTCTCTGCAGCTCAACGACTCGCCGTTGACCCTCAACGGCTCGGTTCAGACGGGTCGCGGTGTGAAGCTCTCCAAGGACCAAACCGGAGTCACTGTCCAGGTGTCCCTGTCCAACTTCTCTGCTTCTGTCTTCTTTGACGGCTCCACGGCTCAGATCCACCTGGAAGTACGGAGCATCGTTTGGTTCCTGAGGAACGCTGCTGTCCTGCAGTCTGACGCTGATCGTCTCTCTGCGTCCTGAACCCGTCAGGTTCTGATGGACTGTCTCTGCAGGGTCTGTGTGGAAACGCCAGCAGGTCTCTGAGTGAAGAGCGGCTCTCTGAGGACGGCTCCACCAGGTCAGACTGACCCGCTGCTGCTGCAGGTAAACTCAGGAATCAGTCCTGACCTTGTTGTGTGTCGCCCCCTAGCTGTGAGGCGCGGTACACCGACACTAATGGCACCGCCATCAACTGCACCAAGATGGCTGAACGGTGAGCACGTTGATCCAGAAGCTTCTGTCTGAGTTTCTCTCAGGTCTCTGGGGGAAACTTCATGTTTCCTCATGTGACTTCAGCTCTGATGGGAGATGATCCGTTTGTTGATCATTGATTGTCTCATGTGGAGCAGCTGTAGCCTCCTGATGGAGGCGCCCTTCTCCTCCTGCGCCGTCAACCCGCAGCCCTACATGGCCGCCTGCACAGACACTTTGTGCCGCTATCTGGATGTGGACGGCCTCAGCTGTCAGTTCCTGCAGGCCTACGCCAGAGCCTGCAGCCTGCAGAGCGGCGCCGCGCCGCAGAACTGGAGGTCCAAGGCTCAGTGCCGTAAGCCCTGCTTCCCTTCGTCTGCTCCATGAGTCTGCTGCTGCTTTTCACAAGCATGCCTCTGCTCTGCAGCGCCCCCTGGAGCCATCTGTCAGGACAGGACCTGCAGCGACCACGAGTTCTGTGGAGAGAAGACGGCCGGAGGAGAAACTCGCTGCTTCTGTCGGGCCATTTTTGCCTCCAAGTACAGAGAGACGAACTCTTTGGGTAGGACGGCTGTGACCTGAGAACAGAATGTGGAGGAAACTCTGACTGCCTCTCCTCACCAGCGCTGTGACCTGCAGGTGATCCGCCGGTCTGCAGACAGAGCTCTGCTTCGCTCTCTCTGGTCGGGTGTCTCCTGGAGGACAAAGGCATCGACTATTCCGTCTTACAGCTCAAGGAAGCGACCTGCAGAGGTCGGATGGACCAGCAGACCCACATGGTGACCTTCAGCTACAACAACACCGACCTCTGTGGGACTGAGGTCACGGTGGGTTCCCGTTCCGCTTCGGGATCTTGATGTGGAGGCAACTGTCACAGGTCAATGTCTCTGTTTGCAGACCAACAACAGCCAAACCCTCTACAAGAACGCCGTCATGACTCAGAACGTCTCCTCTGGAGGAATCACTCGCCAAGACCAGGTCTACATTGAGTTTTCCTGCGTCCAGACCCAGCCGGACATCAAGACGGTGGCGTTCAGGGTCAAAGACAGGTGGGTGTGAACTGGTGCTTTTAGTTTCACACAGAATCAGATGAAACAGGCAAAACAGTGAAACATTACAGGGTCCAATCCTTTTCTTTCTGATTGAGGTCAATGTGATTTTCCAGATTTTGTCAAAAGCTTAAACACTTTATGAACTTCTAGATCTATCCTATCATAGATCTATGATAGGATAGATATGATGTGTCCTATCATAGATCTATGATAGGACAGATATGATGTGTCCTATCATAGATCTATGATAGGACAGATATGATGTGTCCTATCATAGATCTATGATAGGACAGATATGATGTGTCCTATCATAGATCTATGCAGCATAGACAGAGATGGAAGCTTCCAGCCTCCGGTAACTTGGGCCGTTCCTTCATCCCTGTGTCTGGAGCGGAGAGCTGAGCTCAATGCAGTTCGGTTCCCCTGCAACATGAACCCGTCATCATAGCAGCATCATGTCTGTGGATGAGGGCAGCGATTGGATGAGGCTTGTGAACCCTGACCCCTAAGCAGAGGGGAAATAATGGGAGGCAGAACAGGTGCAGAAAACCAACACATAACAAACCTGATAGAAAGACCTAAAAACCGAAACAGAAACACCAAGCAGACGCCCACAGCTGGCGTCTCCAGTCAGTGGCTTCATACGGCGGAGAAAAGCTGCTGGATGCAGACAGGAAGTGCAAATATCTGCGCAGTCAGCAGTAAGAGCAGACTCTTCCCGCTGTGTGTCGTCTGCAGCTCTGTGGTTCAGATCATCTCATCCGGACCTTGGAATTACTCTCTGACCATGAAGGCCTACACCGACGCCGGCCGGACTCAAGCTGTGGCCTCAAACACCGACGTTCACCTGAACCAGAGGATCTGGGTGGAGCTGGACGCCGACGGCCTGGACGAAAACCTGGTCGCCCTGGTGACGGACTCCTGCTGGGCGACAGACCAGGAATCGCCCGCCGCCGCCCGTAAATATTACCTGATCAAGAACGGGTGAGAGCGCCGCCGACCTTCAGCCTTTCTGACCTCTCTGACCTCTCTGATCCGACCACCAACGTTTGATTTGACGCTTGTGAGCAGTTGTCCAAACTCTGAGGACCAGACGGTGAGGGTGGACGGGAACGGAGGGGGAACCTCCAACTCCTTCTCCTTCAACATGTTCCAGTTCACTGGGAGCTCTGCTGAGGTCTACCTGCACTGCAAGCTGCAGCTCTGCACCAAACTGGAGAACACCTGCGTCAAGGTGCAGCTCTCTGAATCTCACTCACCTCAGGATGTTTGATGCTCACACAAAGTTGAGCTCCCAGCTTTGACAGTCGTTGACGTTTCTGTCCTTTGCTTGTAGACGTGTGATGGAGCTCGGACTCGCAGATCTGTCCGGTCCCGGTCTGGAGCTGCTGCCTTCATCAGCATGGCCTGGACTGCTTAGGTAAGACTGCAAATCATTCTGACATGATGTCATTCACACCTAGAACATGTGATGGGGTCAGTAGCTTCATCTCTCCACTAGGGGTTGTAACTTGTCGGTGGGTTTTCTGACACGGTTGCAGAAAATGAAAAACTAAAACGCTGATAGTCGTCACATCAAGAGACAGAAATAAAAAAGCTCCTGATGGATGGGAAGAGAACCAAGATTGAACTTTTTACAGGGTTTGTGACAAAATGTTGGTTTAAAGGAAGATTTCCTTAGTTTTGCACATCATGTTTGAGTTATTAAAGCTGTGAGGGGAAACACTTTCCAACGTCTTGTAAAGCTCATGTTCAGTTGAACTGCAGCAGTTTGGGGTCCAGGTTCAAACTTTGGTCCTGTTGTGTTTTCAGGTGGGACTGAAGGACCTCAAACTCCATGAAGGTCCCCGTCTGTGGGCCGGTTCTGATCCAGAACCCGGGATGTTATGAGGAAACCTCTGACACTTGGCGGTTCTACTGCTCAGATGCTCTGTTTTAATCGGATCTGGTGGAGGGAAGCGGGTTTATAGTTGGTCTTTTTCATTCTCACGCAGTCTGAGCTCAACACCTTTTAGATGTGAAACATCCCATAATGCACAGAGGGAAACGGAGCAGAATGAGGCTGCAGTGCTTCACAAAGAGCCGGAACGTTTCAGTCAGGACCAGGAATTTGGTTTCTGAGCGTTTTCCTTCCTCTGAAGCTCAAATCTACAGAAACTCCAACATGTTTGTAGGTTCATGTTAGATTTTAACATCTATAAGATTAACATCAAGTTGAATTTTGAATTCAGAAAGTTAAAGCAGTTTTAACTCTTACTATTATAAAACTGGAGCACGTCCCCCTCTTGTGGCTACAACTGGTATTACATTCCAGCTTTAACTGGTGTTTTTTTTTTTCTCAGCTTAGACAAAATAAAATCCATTTGAGGTCAAAGAAAAGATTATTTTTCTGCTTAAGGGTTAAAGTAGTTTTTATTTGAATGGATTGTTGGTGTTTTTTGTCTGGTTTGGATGTTGGACATCTGATGTGTGGCGGCGACATAAAGAGCAGCATTTTGATTTCTAATCACTAAAATATTAAAGTGTGCAATGATGATTATTAATCAGCATTTTTATTTTTTATAATAATCCTGTAAACTTCTTTGGCTGAAGGTGATTAAAGTTGTGATTCATGTTTTAATCCGTCTGTATTTGGTCTTTTGTTCATTTGAGGCTGTCGGTTATTTATGTATTTAGCTACAAAAGTTAAATACATAAACCAATCAAAGTATTTATTACAAAAAGTTTGGGTGAAATTTGATCATTTTGATTCATTTACTTGTGTTTTAAGGTCAAAGTTGTGCAAAATAACATGTGACATCATCGTCTCTCCGTAACGTTAAGCTGTTATCTGCACCGTCCTGTAATTTAGTTTTGTTATCAAGGTTTTATGAAAACAAGTTTATTAACATGCGTTTTGTCATGAAATGTGACAACAAACATAGGAAACATATGCTTCTGCGATAACTAATTCCATCAAATCTGAGAAGAAATTCAACCAGGAAAGAAAAAACTCACTTTAATTCAGATTTCTAACATGTTTGTGATCACTGGGTCTCCGTCCTGCAGGCTGTCCGTGTTTCTCCTGAACCAGGAGGAGCGAAAGGCTCTGCTCTTCCAGAACCACACGCCGCTCTTCATTTAGAGCGCTTTGTTCTGGTAGTTGACCAGCAGGCAGGCCACTGTAAAAAGTTTATTAATGTTTCCGACCAGAGACAAAGGGATGACAGAATCAAACAGTTTGTTTTCTGTAACTCTTTGGGTTACCCGCTCAATGTGAACGAGCAGGCGGGCGTTTTGAGACGCCGTCTGTGGTTCAGTGCTGAGAAAAGGTGGACAGTAGACTTTACACTTCACAGAGCCAGAGATCAGGAATCCTTCCCCCACCATCACGGCCCGGTCCTCCGCCAGACGATCGGCCAGGCCCGACCTGACCAACAGCTCCGTGTCGCTTACTGACCCCTCATAGAGCGAAGACACAAAGGTCACCGCGTGGGGGGCCATTCCCGTCAGACCCCTCATTACGCAGTGAGACTGAAGCTCAGTCTGGAGGACAGCGGACGCAGGAGTTTGGCATCTGAGCTCAGAGCTTCCAACTATCAGCTGAGTATCTGCAAAATCTCTGAAGTCCTCGGGAGCTGAGCCCGGATGTCGTCTGCATCCATCCAGACACACAGAGAACCCAGAACTAAGTACAAATAATCGGCCCACCAACAAATAATGCGGCTTGCGGTGGAAGGGTGGATCTGGAACCGGTTTGCTAGGTCTCGCTCCTTCAGACCTGCAGCCAGGTGCATCTGGAACAGGAGCAGCTCGTCGATGGGCTGCAAGGAATCCCTCTGGAAGAAGAAGAGGCAACAGCAGACAAACTGAAAATATGCAAACACACATTTAGTTAGCTAATTATTATTTATAAACAAAGAAACCAGCAGAAAACATGAAGAAAATAATCATCGTAGCATCATTTCTGTTTGGAACGGAGCAGGAAGAAGCACAACACACACACACACACACACACACACCGCATTGACATCTCAATTTAATAAATCATCACTTAACTAAATTACCAGAAATATAAAACTGAAACAGTGTGTGTGTGTGTGTGTGTGTTCATGTGTGTGAGCATGTGTGTGTGTATCCGGTGTGTGTGTGTGTATCCGGTGTGTGTGTGTGTGTGTGTGGTGTGTGCTGCGGATCCGAACCGTGTGTGTGGATCCAGCTGCTGCTGCTTCGCTGCTTCTGGTTCCTGATGTTCGGATCCGATGGACCGACGGTTCAATGATCCTCCAGAACATCAGGAAGAGACGATAAGTGGCGAACCTGCAGGTCCAGAGCAGAAACAGGAAACGCTTGATGACGCAGTGAGGAGAAAAACCGCAACAGATCAGAGTGAAGAGCTTTACTGCAGCTAATGATGCTAAATACTCACATTATGCAGCATCATAACCAGCGTCACGTCACTGCATGTTGGGCTGAAGTTGCAGTGAGGAACTAAAGATGCTCATCTCACCTGGTGTAGAACCGGATGTCGTCATCGGATCCTGTGAACCTCTGCAGCCCGAACCTGGATGGGGCTTCCGGTTCTTCCGCTTGTTTCTTTATTTCTTCAGTTAGTTTCTGGTTTTCATGCACAGCCAGGTTCCGGTCTGCTGGTTCCGGGACAGAGCAGTAATCGTGATCCGGGAGGTTGGGTCCTCCGGGCGGGTCCGGCTTCCTGTCCGGTTCCGACAGCCCGGTTCCGTGGAGGCTCCAGGGAAACAGCACCGGGACGGCTCCTCTGCTCACCGCCCGCCTGCCGCCGGCGGCTCTGGGCCGCAGCAGCTGGTCCGGGCTGAAGTGGAGGCTGCACACCTTGCTGTGTTGGGTCAGCTTCATCTCCTCCCGCCGGATGTTCTGCAGCCACCGCCGCCTGAGGGCGGGGTCTCGTGGAAACCCATGGAAACTCAGCAGGCCGTTGTACTTGGAGGAGGCGGAGCTGCGGGACGCAGCAGTGTTCGTGGTACCGCTTCATCTGCCTCTGGAACCGAACCCGGCCCCTGCTGGCCGCCATGTTGAGCCCAACGGAAACCAGGAAGTCGCATTTCGCTCCTGCGGATGTGACGTTGGCCTCGTGCGCTCGACGTCACGTCCGTGTGACGTCGCGGACGCGTCTGTGAAAGACGGGAGAAACTAGAACCGTTTGGGTTCTGGTGGTCGGGTTCGGATGTTCATGGTTTGGGTTGATTGAATAAAATTCATAATAAAGAGACACGAGCAGAAAGACCCGACAGAACCCGGTCCGGTCCGGTTCCGTCCGGTCCAAAAGGACCAAACGGTGCCTGGTGAGAGCGCGTTTACTGACTGGATGCTGAACTATGACCCTTATGGAGAGACAATAGTGCCAAATAATAAGATGAAATAATGATTGAATTTATTCAAACTCTCCTGATGTTTCAATAAGTTCATAAACTGCTGACTGAAATAAAGTTTTCTGAAATATGTTTTTTTATTTCTGATTAATTTATGCAAATATAAGTCAACAAGTCTTAATTAATGTTTGTTTTGGATTTAATTTAAGTTGAAATCAGGAACAAACTGAACTTTGTCTCCTGCTCAGGATGCAGAGCTGCAGATCATCACCATGTTGACGGAACCAAGAGACTGGGACCGGATCATTCCTGGAGCCGGATCATTCCTGGGACCGGATCATTCCTGGAGCCGGATCATTCCTGGAGCCGGATCATTCCTGGGACCGCATGGTTCTGAGGGGAGGACGGGATGCAGGCCCACATTTCAGGACCAGAACCACAGACTGAGAGAATAAAATGATCCTGCAGGGATCAGGATGAGATGAAGGTGTTGAAGATGTTTCATGTATCCATCTGGTCTGGACCTTCAGAACCATCCGGTTCTGAAGGTCCAGACGTTCTGCCTCAACATGACAATAATAAATCAGGATATAAAACTTTCCGCTCCCTGATGAACGGCTGAACCAGAGATCTAAACCGACCAATCAAGAAGCTCCTCATTCATTCATTCATTCATTCATTCATTTCATGAGGAACATGCATTGATAAGAAAAGGAAAACTAAATATTCAGACACTTCTTGTCAAAAATGCATGTATGAGGAAAAGGAAAAAGAAAATGTGTTTATGAAAAATAAAATGTTTTAATTTCTGTTTTTATGTCAGTTTTGGTTCTCCATAATCATTGAAAATAATTTAGCTTAATATTGAATACAGTTATCATCATCATTATCATTATCATCATTATTATTATTATCATTATTATTATTATACCTGCATATATTAGTTTGGATTTGCAGCAGATTGATATTCAGTGTTTTATGCAAAAATGATGGAGATTCATCCCTTCACTCTCTCTCTCTTCCTCTCTCTCTCTCTCTCTCTCTCTCTCTCTCTTTGGGGGCGTGTCTGTTTTCCACTTCACGGAAGAAATCCTCCTTAGATTCCGAACCTCCGCGTCCGACAGGCGCAAGGACGAACCGGATCTCCTGACTCCGGACCTGCCGGACTCACCGCGGCCAGAGGACGGGTTCTGCTAGAGGACGGGTTCTGCTGAGGACGGGTTCTGCTAGAGGACGGGTTCTGCTAGAGGACGGGTTCTGCTAGAGGACGGGTTCTGCTAGAGGACGGGTTCTGCTAGAGGACGGGTTCTGCTAGAGACGGCAGGACCCGCAGCGACATGCCGGCCAGACGCGCCTGAAGCCGCAGCAGCCGCAGCAGCTCCGGGACGCGGACAGCAGACATGGCCCACGTCGGCAACGGGGCGGCCGCCGAGGAGGAGTGAGGTCCCGCCGCTGCTATCGGGTTTCATCCGGTCCTTCCCTCCGGAGGCTCCGGTTTCATCCCGGCTGGTTCTGCCCTTTAAATGGACCCAAACCCTCCAGAACCGGGATGCCGCATCCTGTTCCTGACAGAACCTTCACTATAGCGGCTCTTTGTTCTGCAGGTTCCCATCAAATATTCAATAAAATAATGATTTAATAAACGAGGCTGATTAAGAAAACAAGCTGCTTCAAATATGTTGAGTAAACCTGGTCAGACTGGTTGGAAAAACCTTTTCCTTTACAGTCACATAGAAACATCACTGAAATCCTTCTGCACACTGTAAAACACTGAAATCCTTCTACACACTGTAAAACACTGAATCCTTCTAGACACTGTAAAACACTGAAATCCTTCTACACACTGTAAAACACTGAAATCCTTCTAGACACTGTAAAACACTGAAATCCTTCTAGACACTGTAAAACACTGAAATCCTTCTGCACACTGTAAAACACTGAAATCCTTCTACACTGTAAAACACTGAAATCCTTCTAGACACTGTAAAACACTGAAATCCTTCTAGACACTGTAAAACACTGAAAATCCTTCTGCACACTGTAAAACACTGAAATCTTCTAGACACTGTAAACACTGAAATAGTTTCACACACTGTACAAACTCTAAATTAATGACAGATTCTCACTTGACATTTCATCAAATTTAACCTGATTTACATTAAGTTTGGATTAAAGGTGCAATGTGATGGATGTAGTGCCCTCTAGTGGTAAATATGGGACATTACTCCAGGTTGAATTCCCTCCACTTGTTAATGTTTCACAGTAAAAGTTTTATTAGATAATAATTCATTGAAAATTTGCTGCTGAGTCACGTTTTGGTTGTTTCTGCTGTTATTTTAATGATTTATCCTGAAGGTTTGAAGAAATCTGTCATCAATCTCTTACAAAATGGCTGCATGAATGCTAATAATGCATCCATTCAGAAGAAACATGATGAAGTTTAAAGTCAAAATAATCCGGAGTTCTTCTGTAAATCCATATGCTATTAAATTTGATCCATTAACTCAAATTGAAAGGAAAACTATTTTTTTATCTGATTCCTTCCTTCCACTTCGTCAGTCAAGTTTCTTCACTTCCTCTTGAACTTCTTACTATTTCATTGCCAACCTCAAGCAACTGCTGAGCTCTTTGTGATTCTGTGCAACAGAAAACCTGAAATGTTTTTCTGTTGCAGAGTCTCTCAGGTTTAATGTGGAGTCGTGCTTCAGTTGCACAGCCGCGGCGCTAAAACGGGAGAATCGACCCGATTCAGACAGCAGTTCCGACCACAGAGCAGCAGACATGCAATCAGCTTTCATTCATAAAACTCAAATATAGCTAACAAAAACCCACAAAAAAAACAACTTCAACTCAAAATAACCACAAGAGAAAAGAAAACAAAGCACAAGATTAAAGAATCAATAAAAAGTTCTTCACAAAATCACATGAATGCAAAAACACAATCTCTCCAAGTATTTCTGTCCAGTTTATGGAGCAAATGTCACTAAATAAGACAAAACTGACATATAATTCATTCTCATCAGATGTAAGATGTTGCTGTAGGTCAATAACTCCTTAATATGGATTTTTAAAAAGTAATTCACTAAAATCATGGAAAAATGTCTTGTTATAACACAATGCTGTACTTTAGATTTTTACTTGATTCATGTTATTCTTTCTTCTCTTACTGGATATAAAAAACAAACATATTTGAACCAAAAATCGCAGACAGACAAACAGCTGCTGTTAAAGTTTCATCAATAAATGCTATTCTATTCTATCATTTTATTGAAAGAAAGAAACTGATGTGGAAAAGTTTTTTGCTGATATGATTATTAAAATACCAAAATTTTCCACTTAACTTTATCCTTCAGTCTGTCTGATGATGTGATTGTAAATATTTAATGTCAGTTAGATTTTTCACCTAATAGTTTTTCATTCATATTTCAGATGATTTTTGTTTCTGAGTGAATCCGAGCAGACGGACGTTTCTCTGCTCTGACTGCAGTTTCATGTTTGGCTTTTCTGCTCCTCTGTGAAACTGTTTGCATTTGTGACGTTTCTGAAGATTTATTAAGTGAAGAAACTTGTCATTTCTATTTAATGGAAGCACCAGAATCACCAGCAGAAAGATTTGTTTGTATTTGTAGAGGAAACGTGTTTCTATCTGCCCAGGTTTTCATATTGGTGCATCATAAGTCGTAAGCGCTGCAGGCTGGCAGGAAGTCGCCGTTGGCGTTCGGAGCATCCGGCCTCCCGTCTTCAGACCACTTTGGCTTTTATTGCAGCTGATATGAGGCGCAGTGTCGGCTCCTCGGCTGCATCAGGACGGTTTTCTGTGCTTCATTTCTCCGTCTTCTTCTTCTGTTGCATTTATTCCTGTTTCCACTGAGAGCTGCTGAAATTAATCCGGCTCAGGTGAGCAGTTCACAGATTATTAATCTGATCCATCAGCAGCGTGTAATCAGCTTTCAGAGATAGTGACAGGTCCTGTGTGTGTGTGTGTGTGTGTGTGTGTGTGTGTGTGTGTGTGTGTGTGTGTGTGTGTGTGTGTGTGTGTGTGTGTGTGTGTGTGTGTGTATGTGTGTGTTGTTCATGTTAAAATCAGAATAAATATCAAGCAATGAGGCAACATTTGAATTCCACTTATACTGTTAAGCTGAAATGATAAAATCTGGTTTTAAATATGAAACAAAGTGGAAACATAAAATCCTCCATGAGGCCACAGAGATGCATCCCTGCATCTGAACAGTTTCACTTTATTTTGTTCCATTTGGAAACGATTTTCAACAAACTGTAAATCTTTAGATTCGTTTCGTGGCTCTAGTTCTGCAGAAAGTCTTTCTTCGCTGCAGGTTTCATGGTTTGGTTAGTCTTGGATTATCTGCTGATATTTCTCAGTTTATTTATTTGCCAGTGAAATGGATGAGAAGAAAAAGCCTCTCAGCAGGAACCAGAAGCAGAAGGGTTTGTTTTCTTGGGGTCGGCTCTAATCTGACCTGAAAGCTTCATTCATGGCCGTCGCGTTTCGGAGGATCTCAGCTGATGCTGGTTAAACTCTGAGGAATGTGAGACTAAGTTTATGGGAACTGGGATAAAGGTTGTCGCTGCGCAGAAACACCATAAAAACACAAGGAGACCAATTAAAACAAAACGCTGCTGATGACTCATGCAAGGGTGCAGTGGCTTGACCTTTGACCCCCAGGCTGGACGCCACTGTGAC